AGGGCCTAAAAATAATAACTCCATTATGTTTCTCTTTCTATAATTTTTAGTTTTTTAGAGCTTCTCTTACTGTAATTTTAATTTTTAAGAGTTTTTCTTTCTAAAATAACTGAATATTACTAATTTGAACGGTAAAGTGTTTTCTCATAAAAAAAACATTTTATGGGATTTTTAAGTATAGAATATTTCAAAAACTCAACAATATTCTAACTCATGAAGTTGCCCAAACAATATTGGATGAGAATTAATGGTTACACAACTTTGAGATAAATTTTTTTTTTTTTACTAAATTCATTGCTAATTTATGTTTCTCTTAAAATTTGAATCTCAAGTACTTTTGAATCAAGTGATTTGAACATTTCACCTTTCTATTAGGTGATATAAATCTCAAAATAATAACAATATTTATTATAATAATTAGAAAAATATTTTAAAATGATAATTACTATGATTTTTGATATTCAAACTTTTTATTGTACTATCTTAAATATATACCGATGTGAAGGATACAATTTTAAAATTATTTAAGAAAAATCAATCTTGATATAGTTAAAAATCAAATTAGAAATACCTAAACATAAATGCTAAAATTTAAAAATCAATAACTAATAACTTAATTATTCAAGGCTTATAAATGTATAAGTGAATGAATATGTGTGTTAGCGTCTAACAAGAATGCTTTGATAAAAAAAAGTTCCAAAATATTTGGATAATGAGTGTGCAGTGAGCACTTTTCTTTGGGTCGTTTTCTCGAAATTTATTTCCAGAAGCAACTTTTCACAATGAAAAGAACTAGTCCTGAAAATGGAGCCCTCAATCTAAGAAAAAAATTGACTTCCGCCGAAGGCAACTCCGAGTATGATTTCTCACACTCACGGGTGGTCATGTCGGCTTGTCCATTGGCTGTACGAAGCGGACATCATTATGAGATTGCTGTTCATTATACGAAAATCGATTCAACCAACCTTGCATCCAAAATTTATAGCATCTTCAGTTTGAAAGAAATGAAGAGAAGGGCTTGTCAAAAAAAAAAAAAAAACAAAAAGAAATGAAGAGAAGGAAAAAAAGAGAATTTTTTTAATTAGTTAAATTATAATATTTAATTAATAAAAAAAAATCACCAATCAAATATACTATTATTATAAGTATATACTATTTGAGCTGATATGATACATTGAGGCGATTTTGAGTTTGCTATATGGGCATCCTAAAAGAAAGAGATACATATAAAAGGCCCAAAATGTTTAGTGAAAATGAAGATGGAGAATAATGTAAACGCTTTGCTGTAGAAATTGTATGATTTCTCTCTCTCACAGTCTCTGCTGTACAAATTGTATGGTGCATGCAAGGTGAATAAATAGGGAGGCCCTCACCCCCAGTTCACAGAGAGAAGAGGGTCAGTAAGTAGTAATGGCGTCTTTTGAAGATTTTCATTGGCATTTCAAACCTGAAATTTCAGGTCACTGCTGCGTGAAGCAATCATTCTGTCCCTT